ACCACCCCCACCACCCCACCACCCCCACCACCCCCACCACCCCCATCACCCCCATCACACCCATCACCCCGTTCGCCCCCTTCACCCCCATCATCCCCATCACCCCCATCACCCCCATCACCCTCATCACCCCCATCACCCCCATCACCCCCTTCACCCCCACCACCCCCACCACCCCCACCACCCCCATCACCCCCATCACCCCCATCACCCCCATCACCCATCCACTCCTCCATTTCACTTGGTCCGCTCTCTCCTTTGCTTCTGTCTGTTGCTGCTGGCTGTTCTGTCCGCTGCTCGACGTGAAAGCTTTTCGTGGTGCACTCACTGTGTGTGGTCTCGTGCGGTGCAGAGGGCGTGGTGGCTCCATTGCTGCACGGGCCTTGCTGTTCCAAGGGGAGGCAGCAGAGGGAGGAGGCGCATGGACGGGCGGCAGTGGGATGACAAATGGCCGGCACTCACTGCGTGCTCTGCTGACTGCTGCTCACCACCACATGTGCTCATGCGCGGAGGGGGAGTGGGGGGCAATGGGAACTGGAGGATCAGGGAAGTGCTCCCTCCTTACCTCCTGTAAGTTTCTCTAATTGGCATGTCGTTTTCATGTTGTTGCGGTTGTATTTCCTTTGTGTCTTCGTCCTTTTTGCCTCGTCCCTTGTCCTTCTGTCTTTGCATTCTGACTTCTTCTTGATTTCTCCACGCCCTTTCAAAGCCCCACCAAACAACTCACCATCACTTTGGATTGTCTCCTTTCTGCTTGCAGGGAAACACACTAAGCAGCACCACCATCGGTGTGTGGCGACCTACAGAGTGGGTGGGGCGTTTTGTTTGCGGCAGTGTGCACTCTACATCAGCCAAGCAATGGCACGCCATGCTCATCTGAAGGTGGGGAGCTGCGAGGGATGCTGCTGCTTGCTGCTGTCGCCCGGGAGGATTTGTGCTCCTCTGGACGACTCACTTTCTGCGTCCACGCTTCTCCTGTAGCTAAGTCTCCTCTCCGCACACCCGTCCTCCCCTCCCTTTCTCCTTCGCTATCCCCATATCTCTCTTTCACTGCTTCCAAATTATGACCCCTGACGCATGGTGGTGGTGGTCCGTGGTGCTATGGCAGCAGAGCTCATGTAGAGTGCAGTGTAGTGGGAGTGGTGGGATAGAGTAGTGGAGAGGGAGTGCATTCATGCCATGCGTGCGTCCCCCAGTCCCCCCTCGCAGGCTCAGCTCGCTGCTCTAGTGCTGTAAGCCACTGTCGCCACGCGCCTTCCCGTTCCCCCTCCCACCACGATTCAACCACTCCTTTTTCGTTGTGCTCCATTTTTCAAGTTTCTCAATGCTCGCTCTTCACTGCTTCTGCTCTATTGCCACCTTGACGTTCTTGCTGCTCCCATTAATGGACAGCACTGGCACACCCAAGAGACCTCGTACCAGCTGATCCAAACTCAAAAGAATACATGAGGCTTAACCATAGTTGAACCTGCTACCTTGGGGGAGGGAGGTCTCTTGAGCGTGACAGAGGGCAGTAAAGAAGGGAGTCGGGTGCATGGTGCAAGCAAGACATGAAAGCAGCACAGGCAGTCCGTGTTTCAAACAGTCAAAGGGTCAAGCAGCCAGTGTTTCAAACAGTCAAAGGGTCAAGCCGTCAGTGTTTCAAACAGTCAAAGGGTCAAGCAGTCCGTGTTTCAAACAGTCAAAGGGTCAAACAGTCCGTGTTTCAAACAGTCAAAGGGTCAAGCAGTCCGTGTTTCAAACAGTCAAAGGGTCAAGCAGTCCGTGTTTCAAGCAGTCAAAGGGTCAAGCAGTCCGTGTTTCAAACAGTCAAAGGGTCAAGCAGTCCATGTTTCAAGCAGTCAAAGGGTCAAGAAGTCCGTGTTTCAAACAGTCAAAGGGTCAAGCAGTCCGTGTTTCAGACAGTCAAAGGGTCAAGCAGTCCGTGTTTCAGACAGTCAAAGGGTCAAGCAGTCCGTGTTTCAAGCAGTCAAAGGGTCAAGCAGTCCGTGTTTCAGGCAGTCAAAGGGTCAAGCAGTCCGTGTTTCAAGGAGTCAAAGGGTCAAGCAGTCCGTGTTTCAAGGAGTCAAAGGGTCAAGCAGTCCGTGTTTCAAGGAGTCAAAGGGTCAAGCAGTCCGTGTTTAAGCAGTCAAAGGGTCAAGCAGTCGGTTTTCAAGCAGTCAAAGGGTCAAGCAGTCGGTGTTCAAGCAGTCAAAGGGTCAAGCAGTCGGTGTTCAAGCAGTCAAAGGGTCAAGCAGTCCGTGTTCAAGCAGTCAAGGGGTCAAGCAGTCCGTGTTTCAAACAGTCAAGGGGTCAAGCAGTCCGTGTTTCAAACAGTCAAAGGGTCAAGCAGTCCGTGTTTCAAACAGTCAAGGGTCAAACCGTCCGTGTTTCAAACAGTCAAAGGGTCAAGCAGTCTGTGTTTCAAGCAGTCAAAGGGTCAAGCAGTCAGTGTTTCAAACAGTCAACGGTCAAACAGTCGGTGTTCAAGCAGTCAAAAGGTCAAGCAGTCCGTGTTTCGAACAGCCAAAGGGTCAAGCAGTCCGTATTACCCGGCGTTGAAGTGCAGTCTGTGCGGAGGACATCACTTGATCCACAACCACATTGATTTCGTCGTCGAGCGGCAGAACAACATCTCCAAATGGCACCTTACCGTTGGGAGGGTCCATGAGCTGAATGGTAGCCGAGCCGTTTGTGCTGATGCTGCAGGAACTTCACTCGTTTCGATGTCGTTTTATACTCACCTTTTTACCCGAATTCTCACATCGTTGCTCCGCAGCTGCTGCGACCACTACATCAGATACGACCAAGATCATTCTCAAGGACGTGTCCCTTGTGCTTATTTCCACCAGCGGCAATCGGGAGGAGTGGGTTTGTCTTCAGGACAGCTGCGAGAAGGCTCATGGCTCGTCGTTCGAGCAGGCTGCTCATCACACGCCGATACGCGAGCTCAGCGTCAATGGGCTCGGGAGCAGAGGGAAGCAGAAGCACTTGAAGGCATGGATTAAAAAACCACCTGATATCTTCGTCTTAGTCGACTCGCGTATTGGTGCAGACCACGATTTCTGGAAGAAGCTTAAAGTCCCCCATTGTCACGCGATCGGTCCTGCGGGGAAGGCGGGGGGAGTTGCTATCATCAGCTTTAACAAGTCTCTCGTTTTCACTAACATTGTTACACACTGCTCAGGCCGGCTGCTTCAGGCTGATGTCCAGTGGGACACTTTCTGCTGTACTATCTTGGCCGCTTACTTCCCGGCGAAGGCCTGTAGGTGTCGTCCGTTTTACGCTGGTGTGCTCGCTCCTTTCACTGCGCAATCTGCGGGGAAGAAGAATTTCATACTGATCGGAAATCTTAATATGGTGGAAGATGTCAAACATTATATATGTTGGGTTTGTTAGGCTACAGTGGGTTAGCCTATATGGGGTACACAATTCTAGGGTTTGCTATTTGTACTGATCTCTCTGTTAGTTCAATCATTCCAGTCCGTTCATTCTGACATGGTTTCAGAGCAGGTCCTTCGCTAGGACCGTTCTTAGGGCCCACCGCTACCTACCTACCTACCTACCTACCTACCTACCTACCTACCTACCTACCTACCTACCTACCTACCTGCGCCTTAACGCGCCTCGGTTCTTACGGCCCCTTAAGGCCTCGCGCCCTCGTGCGCCTTTCCCCACCGCGCGCGCGCGACTCGCTAGCTACCCGCGCGCGGGTCCTTTTTTTTAGCGCGCGCGGCTCTGTTTCTTGCGCGCGCGGCCCGCTAGTTGCGCGCGTGGCCCGCTAGTCGCCCGCACGCGGCCCGTCAGCCCTTCGCGCGGCCCCTGCTGCTCGCGCGCACCCCGCCGTGGCCCCGCAGGCCCGCAGCTCGCTGTCGCAGCTGCCGCCCGCCCGTCACCCGCAGCCGCCCGTACGCCACTGCCGCTGCCGCTGTCGTACGCTGCTGCCGCTGCTGCTTGCGCACCGCCCACTGTCGCTGCCGCTGCTGTGCCGCCGCCACTGCCGCCCGTGCGCCGCTGCCGCTGCTGCACGTGCGTTACTGCCGCTGCCGCCGCCGCTGCAGCTCCCGCCCGTGCGCTCGCTACCGCTACTCCCGCCGCCCGCTGCAGCTGCCGCCCGTGCGCTACCGCCGCTGCCGCCCGTGTGCTGCTACTGCGGCCGCCATTACCGCGCTCACTGCCGCTACTGCCCGTGCGCCAAAGCCGCTGCCGCCCGTGCGCCATTGCTGCTGCCGCCCGTACGCTACCACTCGTTTGCCGCTGCTGCCGGCCCCGTTGACACTGCCCACAGTCTCCCAGCGGCCTCGTTCCTACTGTTTACCTTATACCTACTACTACCGCTCGTGTGCCACTACGGACAGTCGACCCGCCCGCGCCTTGCCTAGCGGCCCCGCCGGCCCCGTTGACCCTCCGCACACCTTTCCAGCGGCCTGATTCCTACTGCTACTGTCACTATGGCTAGTCCGCCAGTTCTAGCTTTCGATGCCGAGGGCCGTCCAGTGAAGTTCGAAACCTGGCTAGATGACCTGCACCTGTTCCTACAGCTCACTGCCAAGGAAGATATCTCACTGTACGACCACGCCCTAGGCCATGCCACTGCCCCTGACTCGACTGCTGACAGCACTCTGCGTTCCCAGTGGCAGACCCGTGATGCGCACGCTCGCTTTGCTATTCGCAACTCCCTGCCGCTAGACGAGCGCGAGCACTTCGGCCAGTGCAAGACTGCTAAGGACCTCTACACCGCTGTAGTTGCCCGCTACTCCTCACCCGCTTCTGCCACGCTAGGCCGCCTCACTCTCCCCTACCTGTTCCCCGACCTAGCCTCCTTTCACACTGTCGCAGACCTCATCACCCACCTTAAGACTAGTGAGGCCCGCTTTCGCGCTGCTATGCCTGCCGAGTTTCTCACTAGCAACCCCCCCCCGCTCTGGATCACTCTCTACCACATCGTCACCCGCCTCCCTGACTCTCTGCGCGCAGTCAGGGACCACTTCCTCTCTCGCTCCCCCACTGAGCTCACTGTTGCCCTCCTCGAGAAGGAACTGCTTGCAGCTGAGGCGAGCATCGTCGCTGTAGGCACCTCTCGTGGCGACCCCCGCACCCCGTTCTTTGAGGGGTGTTCCCCTTCCCCCCTCCTCCCCTCTGTCGCCTCTGCTGCTGCTGTCGACCTTCTTGGTGCTGAGAAGGTCGGGACCGCGTCTGCTTCGAGCGGGCGCCGCAGGAACAAGGGGGGCAGGGGTGGGGGTGGTGGCGGAGGAGGTGGGGGTGGAGGCGGTGCGAGTGGAGGCGCGGCTGGGGAGACTGGTGGCGGCAGTGGGGGAGGAGACAGCAGCGGCGGGAGTGGTGGTGGAGGCGGCAGCGGAGGCGGAGGTGGTCGTGGCGGCGGCAGGGGTGGAGGTGGCCGGGGCGGTGGCAGTGGGGGTGGTGGTCGTGGAGGCACTGGCGGAGGGCAGAGTCAGCAGCCTGCCCCGACCCTTCAGGCCGCCCGTGAGTGGTATGCGCAGCGTAGCGTTACCTGCACGTACGTCATTCGCACAGGTGACCGCAGCGGCCAGCAGTGTGGGAGGCCGCACCCCACGCAGCGCTGCTTCGCGCGCCTTAACGACGCGTGGCGCACTCAGTTTCCTGCTGCCACTGAGCTGCCGTGCTGGGCTGATCTGGAAAAGAGGGGTGTTGATATTTGGGCTTTAGACTTTGATGCTATTCTCACTGCCATGTATGCGATGTCTATTAGTGGAGAGGGTGCTCAGTACTTGCGTGTTCCGCCCGACCCGGGCATTCAGGCCAGTCCGGCTGCCGCTCTAGGTGCTAGTGCGTCTGCTCCCACAGGTCCTGGTGAGGCCGCTGCCCTAGGTGCTCGTGCGTCCGTGCCCCCTGGTACTGAGTCGACTGCAGCACTGCACACCTTCACACTGGACTCAGGTGCTTCTCGCTCCTTCTTTCGTGACCGCACTGTCCTTGAGCCACTCGCTCGGCCAGTTGCTGTCTCCCTTGCTGACCCCTCTGGGGGTCCGGTCATTGCGACCTCCTCCACTGTCCTTCCTTGTCCGGCGGTCCCGTCCGGCACGCTGTCAGGTCTCTACCTCCCCTCGTTCTCTACGAACCTGGTGGCAGGTAGTGCGCTCCAGGACGGAGGTGTTCACCAGTTCACCCCTGCCTACGAGCGCGTGACACACTGCACGTGTGCTCGGACGGGTCGCCACCTGGCTACCTTCACTCGGGAGCCGGGGTCGGACCTTTACACACTGACCACTGAGTCCCCTCAGGTAGCTGCGTCTGCGTCTGCGTCTGCGTCAGGTCAGCTGTCCGCCCCCTGCTCGTGTCGCTCTCTGGCGCATGAGACTGTCCTTTGGCACCACCGCCTTGGTCACCCGTCTGTGCAGCGCCTTCGGGCCATGCACAAGCGGGACCTTGTTGCTGGTCTTCCCAGGGTGCTCCCTCCCCTTCCCGACTCGCCTGCTCCTCCCTGTATTCCCTGTGTCGAGGGACGGCAGCGCGCCGCTCCTCACTCCTCCTCCTTTCCCCCGACGACTGCTCCCTTGCAGACGCTCCACATGGACGTGTGGGGCCCAGCCCGCATCCGTGGTCAGGGTCAGGAGAGGTACTTCCTGATTGTTGTTGACGACTTCTCGCGCTACACCACGGTCTTCCCCTTGCGCGCCAAGGGTGACGTCCCTGATGTCTTGATCCCTTGGATCCACAGATCTCGTCTCCAGCTCCGTGAGCGTTTCCGCTCCGACTTCCCTGTCCTGCGTCTGCACTCTGACAGAGGTGGGGAGTTCTCCTCTGGCCTATTGGAGGCCTTCTGTCAGCAGGAGGGCATTGAGCAGTCGTTCACGCTTCTGGCCTCTCCACAGCAGAATGGGGTCGCTGAGCGCCGCATTGGTCTGGTCATGGAGGTCGCTCGTACCTCCTTGAGCCATGCGGCTGCCCCCCATTTTCTGTGGCCGTTTGCAGTCCGATACGCTGCGCATCAGCTCAACCTCTGGCCCCGTGTCTCCTTGCCCGAGACTTCTCCGACACTGCGTTGGACGGGAGAGGCTGGCGATGCGTCGCATTTTCGGGTCTGGGGATCCCGAGCTTTTGTCCGCGACACGTCCGCGGACAAGCTCTCCCGTCGCGCTGTCCCCTGCGTCTTCCTTGGCTTTGTCCCGGACGCCCCTGGTTGGCAGTTCTACCACCCCACCTCGCGGCGTGTCCTGGCCTCTCAGGACGTCACTTTTGACGAGTCCGTCCCCTACTACCGCCTCTTCCCCTACCGCACTGCCCCGCTCCCCCCCCCGCCTCTCTTCCTCGCTCCAGGTGCTGAGGTACCAGACCCCCTCCCCCCTCAGGGTGCCGCTCCCTCAGGTGTGTCCCAGGTAGACCCGGGTGAGCCTGTCGAGGTAGCTGTTGACTCTCGTCCTGCTCGGGGTGCTGAGCCTGGGGGTGCTGCGTCTGGGGGTGCTGAGCCTGGGGGTGCTGTGTCTGGGGGTGCTGCGTCTGGGAGTGCTGAGTCTGGGGGTGCGGAGCCTGGGGGTGCTGAGCCAGGAGGTGCGGAGCCTGGAGGTGCGGAGCCTGGAGGTGCTGAGCCTGGGGGTGCTGGGTCTGGGGGTGCTGCGTCTGGGGGTGCTGAGCCTGGGGGTACTCCATCTGGAGGAGCCCTCTCCTCCCAGCAGCTGCAGGAGAGGTACCTCGAGTACTGCCGCCTCCGGAGAGGTGCTGCTGGAGCTCGTCCCGGTACTTCCCCTCCTACCCAGGAGCTCCCCCCCATTCAGCAGATCCGCGAGTGGTACACACGGCGCTGCAGTCTTCGGAGTGGTGCTCCTGGTGCTGCGGACCCTGGGGGTGGCGCTGCTGCTGGTGCTGAGGACCCGGACGTTGGAGCTGCTGCTGGTGCTGCGGACCCGCCTGGTGGAGCTGCTGCTGGTGCTGAGGACTCGGACGTTGGAGCTGCTGCTGGAGCTGAGGACCCGGGCGGTGGCGCTGCTGCTGGTACTGAGGACTCGGACGGTGGAGCTGCTGCTGGACCTGAGGACCCGAGCGGTGGCGCTGCTGCTACTGCTGAGGACCCGGGCGTTGGAGCTACTACTGGTGCTGAGGACCCGGCCGGTGGAGCTGCTGCTGGTGCTGTGGACCCGGCCGCTGGAGTCTCCTCTGCTTCTGGAGACGCTGCGCGGCCGCGACCGTACTTCGTACCGCTCCTTCAGCAGGTTCTTGGGCAGGCTCCTCCTCCTTGTCCTCCTCCCTCCGTAGAGTGTCCTCTGCCTGTCCAGTCGCAGTCACAGTTACCGCCTACCTCGCCTCTCCCTGCTCCCTCTCCTTACACTGGTCCCACAGGAGGTCTTACAGAGCGTCGTGAGCCTGAGTCTCGTCCTGCGTCGCCTGTTCGTCCTGCTCGCACTGGTAGTCGTGTCCGTCGTGAGCGTCCTCCTCCTGTCCCAGGCACTCACTACATGACTCTGCGTCCCTCTACTTCTCCTCAGCGTGTCCCTCTACCGTCTCCTCCCGCGTCTTCTTTGCCTCACGTTCCGGACCCTGAGTCTGACCGGTACCGTGCTGAGCACCCTACTGTCACGCGTCTCCTCGCTACTGTTGTCACTGACCCTACCTTTGAGTCCTCGGCTGCGTCTGCTCTGGTCGCTGAGTTGGTTGACTTTGCTGCTGCCTGTCGTCTAGACTACGCTGCTAGCCTTGTTGCTGAGTCTGAGTCTGAGTCTGTCTGTCCTCCGTCCGTCGGGGGTGAGTGTGCTCTTGGCACGGACGTCCTTGAGGACAGACAGGAGGAGTTCCAGTGTCTTGCTGCTGCTTTGCCCCGTCTCGTGTCCTTGCTAGTTGCCCCTGAGGGAGACCCGGATGCACCAGACATCCCGACCCCACGCACTTACGCTGAGGCGATGGCGGGTCCCTACTCCTCTCAGTGGCAGACGGCCATGGACGCCGAGATGGCTTCCTGGAAGTCCACACGCACCTACGTCGACGAGGTTCCCCCTCCTGGGGCGAACATCGTCAGTGGCATGTGGATTTTCAGGGTGAAGCGGCCGCCGGGTTCTCCGCCTGTCTTCAAGGCGCGTTACGTGGCTCGAGGCTTCAGTCAGCGAGAGGGAGTTGACTTCTTCCAGACCTTCTCCCCCACCCCGAAGATGACCACTCTTCGGGTGCTGCTGCACATAGCCGCTCACCGCGACTACGAGCTTCACTCACTTGACTTCAACACTGCTTTCTTGCAGGGCTGCCTGCACGAGGAGATCTGGCTGCGCCGCCCACCTGGCTTCACTGGGTCGTTTCCTCCTGGTACCCAGTGGAGGCTTCAGCGGCCGGTCTACGGTCTCCGCCAGGCTCCGCGTGAGTGGCACGACACACTGAGGACTACACTTGCGGCTCTTGGGTTCGCGCCTTCTACAGCTGACCCGTCGCTGTTCCTGCGCACCGACACTTCGCTGCCGCCGTTCTACATCCTCGTGTACATCGACGACTTGGTCTTTGCCACTGCTGACACTGCAGGACTCGCCTACGTGAAGTCGGAGCTGCAGAGGAGACACACGTGCACAGACCTGGGTGAGCTGACAAGCTATCTTGGCTTGCGGATCACCCGGGACAGAGCACGGCGCACCATCACCTTGACTCAGTCACACATGGTGCAGCAGGTTCTCCAGCGCTTTGGCTTCACGTACTCCTCGCCTCAGTCCACTCCTCTGCCTACCGGTCACTCGCTCTCAGCTCTGCCTTCGGATGAGTCCGTAGAGCCGAGTGGCCCGTATCCAGAGCTTGTGGGCTGCCTCATGTACCTGATGACCTGCACTCAACCTGACCTTGCATACCCTCTTAGCATCCTTGCACGCTATGTCGCTCCTGGCCGTCACAGGAAGGAGCACATGGATGCCGCTAAGAGGGTGTTGCGCTACTTGTGCAGTACGTCGGGCATGGGGCTTGTGCTTGGAGGGCGAGACCGAGTTGTGCTCACAGGGCACTCAGACGCTTCTTGGGCAGACGACCAGGCCACTCAGCGGTCGTCTCAGGGTTACACCTTCAGCCTTGGCTCTGGCTCAGTTTCTTGGCGCTCTACACGCTCTTCTTCTGTTCTCGGCTCCAGTTGCGAGGCTGAGATCTACGCTACAGCCATGGCTGCCCAGGAGCTACGCTGGCTGACCTACCTGCTGACTGACCTCGGAGAGCCGCCTCGTTCTCCTCCAGTACTGTACGTCGACAACAAGGCTGCCATTGCCTTGTGTGAGGAGCACAGACTGGAGCACAGAACGAAGCATATCGCCCTGCGGTACTTCCTTGCTCGAGAGCTGCAGCAGCGCGGTCAGCTTTGTATTCGCTACGTGGCCACTGAGGCCAACACTGCTGATGTGTTCACCAAGGCGCTTCAGCCTCGTGACCATCAGCGCTTCTGCACTTTACTAGGCCTTGTGCCTACTGGACCTCACTTGCTTACCTCTTGACTTTGCTTGTACTGTGATCACTATATATATCTATACCTGCATGTTTACTCTTGCTAGGTTGTGATCACTGTATCTCTGGCTCTGTTATAAACCTGCATGTGAACTGGTCTTGTGACCACTAGCTTGTGCTCGGAATTTGTGTGGAATCCTCGAGATCCACCCTGAGCTTGTTGTTGCCTTGCTTTGCCTTGACTGGTCTTGTGACCCCTAGGTCTCCCCCACTTTGCCTATGGGGGTGTGTCAAACATTATATATGTTGGGTTTGTTAGGCTACAGTGGGTTAGCCTATATGGGGTACACAATTCTAGGGTTTGCTATTTGTACTGATCTCTCTGTTAGTTCAATCATTCCAGTCCGTTCATTCTGACAGAAGACCCCCTGCTTGATAGATCGTCTGGTGCAGGCTCATCCGGGAAATGACAGTGTGATGCGGATTTGCTCAACGCATTGCCTCACTGATGGTTTTCGCTGGATGAACCCGGTGCTGAAGGAGTTGATCGGGCTCTCATCTCGGCCCAACTGATGGTTTACCTTTCTATCCAGATCTGCCAAGACCAGCTCACGTATTGATCGGGCTCTCATCTCGGCGCCGCTGTTGCCGCTGCTCTCTGATGCGTCGCACTGCCGGCCACTGAAAGGCCTCTCGGACCACTGGTTTGGCGTGAAGATATCCTTTAAAGTCAGCCTGCAATTGTGTATGGGGCCGGCGATATGGAGGTGCAAGGCAGCAGAGGTCGGGAAGCCGGGTGCGGCAAAAGCAGTAGCGGCAGTCCGCGAGGAGCATGTAAAGGCGGGGTCGGGCGATTTCACTGCACTCATGAGGAAGGTGAATATGGCGCTGCGGAAGTATTCTACGGAAGAGCAGAAGCGGGTCAAAGCTACCTTACGTCACCTAGATACGGCGGTGGCGGTTTTGCAGCAGGAAGTGATGCGGCACCCTTACTACTCCGCCCGAAAGGAGGAGCTGAGGGTCAAGGAGTCTCAATTGGCAGCTTATCTCGCCTCGGAGCAGGAGAGGCTGTCTCTCATGGCTGGTGTCAAGGAGCTGCAGGAGGGGGAGATGCCCGGCAAGCTCATGTCTGCGAAGGTTAAAACACGGAAGGAAAAGACAATCATTACATCGCTGCAGTGGAATGGTGTGGTGCGGAAAGACTCCAAGGGGATACTGGAAGTTGCATCTGAGTTTTACGCGGATCTGTTCTCGGAACCTACCCCATCCGCGGACAGCTCACACTGGCCGATCGCCCCTGACAAAAGAATAGGAGAGGCGCACGCTCAACTGCTGGTGGCGGATTGGTCTGAGGCGGAGGTAAAAGAGGCCCTGGACGGTATGGCGAAAGGCAAATCTCCTGGCGCCGACGGGATCCCGAATGAGTTCTTCTGCCAGCACTGGGACTCGCTGGGTGGTGATCTGCTCGGCTTCGTAAAGTAGTTTGAGGAGTCGGCATCCCTCCCTCCTGCTGCTCTGGAGCCGGTAACCGTCTTGCTGCATAAGAAGGGCGCGAAGGACCAGGTGCAGAACTACCGGTCGATCACGTTGCTCAACAGCACATACAAGTTATTGCACAAAGTCATTTCGGAGGAACAATACGGTTTCTTACTGGGAAGAAGGCTGGCTGACGGAGTTTCGCTGATCGCGGACATCGTCGAAGCGGCGAAATGCAAGGACGAGGATTGGTACCTGCTATTGGTGGAATTTCAGAAGGCCTTCAATTCTGTCTCGCGTGAATACCTCTTTGGCACGATGGAGAGGATGGGTTTCCCGCGGAAATTTGTGCAGTGGTGTGAAGGTCTTCACGCGGGGTCGACGACGAGACTGCTGCTCAACGGCTGGCTAGGGGAGCCGGTGGCGGTCAGGAAAGGGGTACAGCAGGGTTGTCCGCTGGCGCCCTATCTCTTCCTCTGCGCGGTGGAGCCTCTTTGCCAAGAAGCAAGAAGGCGGAAATTGGGGATCAGTAACCCGTACGGGAATTGTCTTGCGTACCTGGGGTATGCAGACGACACCACGCTGGTGCTCAAGGGGAAAAGGCAGATTGGCCGGGCGGTGAAGCTGCTGAACGAGTTTGGAGAGAAGTCAGGTCTTCGGGTGAACAATGACAAGTCTGCGCTTCTGCCCCTGGGGAGGAACCTGCGCAAGAAGCCAGACAAGTCGTCAGTCTTCTAATGGATGCGATCGAATGAAGCAGAGAGGGTCCTAGGGGTGTGGATCTCACCTTCGGGGGATGCGTCGGTGACCTGGGAAATCACCCTGGTGCGTGCAATGGCGGAGCTGGTGAAATGGCAGATACATTACCTGACGACATCCGGGAGGGTTGCGGTGGTTAACGGGTACATAAATCCAATACTCGCCTTCCAGGCGCAGGTCTACCCTCCTCCATCAAAAATCTGGGCGAAGCTGGTGAAGTTGCTTCACAATTTCGTCATCGGAAATCACTCAACCGCGAGGAAGCATTTCGCGCTCTAGAGCCAGGAGCTGTTGTTCAAGGCAAGAGGGGAAGGCGGTCTTGGCGTCCGGGACCCCTGTGCTGAGCTGGGGGGTCTGGCAGCCAGGAGGATCGCGCTGCTGGCGTCGCAGCCGTTGGGACTGCGTGCTGATCTTGCGCTTGCAGCTCTAGATGTCCCTGACCTTCAGGTTTTCTGGGCTCACGCGGGGCTGATAAAGCAATGGGAAGGAAGGTGTATGCGGTGGAAGCGGACATATGAGTTGTTCCTGGAGTCCAGCTTCCCTTCGTGCATCAGCGTATCATCGGTGTGGGATGTGGAGCAGGAGATGCTGCTTTTCAATCGGCGGTTGCTTTTGAATGGGAAGACACCTGCGGGGCGGCAGAAGGCGGCTAAGTCTCTGAAGCGCTCAGTCATGGGAGACCTGATCAAGGTCGCAGCGGATGGTTCGAGAGCCCTGAAAAATACCCAGGAGCTCGAGCGGGATTTCGAGGGTTCGGAGGGTGCGAAACTGGCAAAGAAGATCCTTGACGCCGCTCCGGATGAGTGGAAGCAAATGCTTTTGGCGCCAGTCACGGCGCGTACGGTGCTTACGGCCTCTAAGTTCGTGCTGGAGGCGGGGACGAGCTACGGGGTCTGGAGGATCGAGAGCGTGGAGGGGGAAACCCTAGTCTGCCGAGCTATCAAATGTTTTCGGGGGGTATTGGGGGAAGCAGAGGAGAGGATGCGCAACTACCTGCCGCACGAGGTATTACCTGCAGTGGTCAGGGAGGGTCGGTTTCTTGGACCTTCGGGTGCCCTTAGGGCGAGACTGCTGTGTTCACCTCACAGTACAAAGAAAGTCAAGCAGTAAGCAAATGAGGTAATGTGGACACAAGGCCTAACGCAGTACAGTGCCGCTGATGATCACTAGGCGGAAGCGCCTTGGTGAAGACATCAGCAGTGTTGGCCTTCGAGTCCACGTACACAAGATGAAGCTGACCACGCTGCTGCAGCTCTCGAGCAAGAAAGTAGCAAAGAGCAATGTGCTTCGTTCTGTGCTCCAGTCTGTGCTCCTGACACAAGGCAAGGGCCGCCTTGTTGTCTCCGTACAGAACTGGAGGAGAACTAGGCCGCTCTCCCAAGTCAGTCAGCAGGTAGGTGAGCCAGCGTAACTCCTGTGCAGCCATGGCCGTGGCGTAGATCTCAGCCTCACAACTAGAGCTGAGAACAGAAGAAGAGCGGGTGGACCGCCAAGAGACAGAACCAGAGCCAAGGCTGAAAGTGTAACCCTGTGACGACCGCTGCGTAGCCAGGTCGTCCACCCAAGAAGCGTCTGAGTGACCAGTGAGGGCAACTCTGTCGCGTCCTCCAAGCACCAGCCCCATGCCTGATGTACTGCACAAGTAGCGCAGCACCCTCTTAGCAGCCTCCCAGTGCTCTCGCCTGTGTCTCCCAGGCGCAACGTAACGAGTAAGGATGCTAAGAGGGTACGCGAGGTCAGGTCGCGTGCAAGTCATCAAGTACATGAGGCAGCCTACAAGCTCTGGGTACGGGCCACTCGGCTCTACGAACTCGTCCGAAGGTGGAGCTGAGAGCGAGTGACTGGTAGCCAGAGGTGTGGCCTGTGGTGAGGAGAACTGGAAGCCGAAGCGCTGAAGGACCTGCTGCACCATGTGTGACTGAGTCAGGGTAATGGTGCGGCGTGCTCTGTCCCGGGTGATCTGCAAGCCAAGGTAGCTACGCAGCTCTCCCAGGTCAGTGCAGGTGTGTCTCTTCTGCAGCTCCGACTTCACACGAGCGAGTGCCTCAGTGTCAGCAGTAGCAAAGACCAAGTCGTCGACGTACACGAGGATGTAAAACGGCGGCAGCGACGTGTCTGTGCGCAGGAACAGTGACGGGTCAGCAGTGGAAGGAGCAAACCCAAGGGCCGCAAGTGTAGTCCTCAGTGTGTCGTGCCACTCGCGCGGCGCCTGGCGGAGACCGTAGACTGGCCGCCGAAGGCTCCACTGGGTACCAGGAGGGAACGACCCAGTGAAGCCAGGAGGGCGGCGCAGCCAGATCTCCTCGTGGAGGCTGCCCTGCAAGAAAGTTGTGCTGAAGTCAAGAGAGTGCAGCTCGTAGTCACGCTGAGCAGCAACGTGCAGCAACACCTGAAGAGTGGTCATCTTCGGGGTGGGGGAGAAGGTCTGAAAGAAGTCAACTCCCTCACGCTGACTGAAACCTCTAGCAACGTAACGAGCCTTGAAGACAAGCGGAGAACCCGGCGGCCGCTTCACCCTGAAAATCCACATGCCATCGACGATGTTCGCCCCTGGAGGGGGAACCTCGTCGACGTAGGTGCCTGTGGACTTCCAGGATGCCATCTCTGCGTCCATGGCTGTCTGCCACTGAGAGGAGTAGGGACCCGAGATCGCCTCTGCGTAAGAGCGCGGAGTGGGGATGTCTAGTGCATCCGGGTCTCCCTCAGGGGCAAGCAGCCAGGCCACGAGATGAGGTACAGCAGCCGCAAGAGAGTCAAAGTCCTCCTGCCTGTCCTCAAGGACGTCCATGCCAAGAGCACACTCAACCTCGACAAACGGAGGACAGACAGACTCAGACTCAGCAACAAGACTGGCAGTGTAGTCTAGACGACAGACAGCAGCAAAGTCAACAAGCTCAGCGACCAGGGCAGACGCAGCAGCCGACTCAAAAGACGGGTCAGTGACAGCAGTGGCTAACAGACGCGTGACGGTAGGGTGCTCAGCACGAAAACGGTCAGACGCAGGGTCCGGAACGTGAGGCAAAGAAGACGCAGGAGGAGACGGCAGAGGAACCGACTGTGGTACAGAGGAGGGACGACGGACGACAAGGCGAGAACCAGCAACAGGCGGCGAACGCTGGTGCGAGACGCGGCGAGCGGAACGACCAGAACGAATAGGCGAGACAGGACGCGACGCAAGCTCACGACGCTCAGTAAGACCCCCTGACTGCTCAGTGTAAGGAGAAGGAGCAGGCAAGGGCGAGCCAGGCAGTAACGGAAGACCAGTAGAAGACGGAAGACTAAGAACCTGGCGAAGGACAGAGTCAGACGGCGGCAGAGACGACGGCGACGGCGGAGCGAAGAACAGGCGCGACTGTACAGTACCGCCAGCACCAGCAGCTCCAGCACCTCCAGCGACACCACCACCCCCAGTGTCAGCTCCTCCAGGACTGTCCCCACTAGCAGCAGCACCCCCAGAACCAGCACCTCCAGTGCCACGGTCTCCAGTCGCAGCGTCCCCAGCGGTAGCACCCTCAGACACAGCACCACCAGCCCCAGCAGCTCGAGTACCAGCGGTACGAGCACCTCCGGGACCAGCGACGGGAGTACCTCCAGGAGACAACGAACCAGCACCACTCTCAGCTCCAGGGGCGGCAGTAGAGGCACCACCAGCAGTAGAGCCCGGAGCTCCAGGAGGGCGACGCTGACGGCGACCGAACCAGTCGTGCAGCTGCTGGGAGGTGAGAGGAACACGCGAACGAAGGCGGCCAGTCCAGGGCGCAGCCTCCACTGGCGACGCACCCCCAGGCTCAGCTCCCTCAGACGGAGCACCGCGACAACGAGCAGCTCCAGCACCTCCAGTACCTCCAGCTCCAGTGTCTCCAGCTCCAGTGGCACCAGGCTCAGGACCTCCAGAACAACCAGCTCCGGCAGCCGCAGTACCTCCAGGACTAGCACCCCCAGAACCAGCAGCTGCAGCACCGCCAGAACCTCCAGCACCAGTGTCCCCAGTCTCAGCGCCTCCAGCTCCAGCTGCACCACGCGGAAGGCGAAAGCGCCGGACGTACCACTCACGGAGCTGCCGCTGTGTGAGAGGCTCCCGGAGAGGCGACTCAACACCCTGAGCACCCCCAGACGCAGCAACTCGAGGCACAGCACCCCCAGGCCCCGCACCCACGGTCCCAGCACCCCCAGGCTCCGCACCCTCAGGCTCAGCACCCCCAGGCTCTGCACCCCCAGGCTCAGCACCCCCAGGCTCAGCACCCCCAGGCACAGCACCCCCAGGCTCAGCAACTCTATCAGCACCACCCGCAGCAGCACCTGAGTCACCTGTGACCTCGACAGGCTCAGCGACGGGAGGAGGGTCTACCTGAGAGACACCTGAAGGAGCAGGACCCTGAGGGGGAAGGGGGTCTACCGGAGGGGGACCTGGAGCAAGGAAAAGCGGCGGGGGGGGGGGAGGGGGGCAGTGCGGTAGGGGAAGAGACGGTAAAAAGGAACCGACTCGTCAAAGGTGACGTCCTGAGAGGCGAAGACCCGGCGCGAGGTGGGGTGGTAAAACTGCCAGCCTGGCGCGTCAGGGACAAAGCCAAGGAAGACACAGGGAAGTGTGCGGGAGGAGAGCTTGTCCGCGGAAGTATCGCGGACAAGGGCACGATCTCCGACGCGCGCGACGCATCGCCGACCTCCCCCGTCCAACTCAGTGTGGGCGAGGTCTCCGGCAAGGAGACACGGGGCCAGAGGTTGAGCTGATGCGCAGCGTACCGGACAGCAAACGGCCACAGAAAATGGGGAGCCGCCGCATGAACCAAGGAGGTACGAGCGACCTCCATGACCAGGCCAATGCGGCGCTCTGCAACCCCATTCTGCTGCGGGGAGCCCGGAAGCGTGAAGGACTGCTCGATGCCCTCCGCCTGACAGAAGGCCCTCAAGAGGTCGAAGGAGAACTCACCACCTCTGTCAGAGTGCAGACGCAGGACAGGAAGCTCTGTCCTGAACCGGCGGCGGAGCTGGAGACGAACTGTGCGGATCCAAGGGATCAGAACAGCAGGGACCTCACCCTTGGTGCGCAAGGGGAAGACCGTGGTGTAACGCGAGTAGTCGTCGACAACCAGCAGAAAGTACCGCTCACCGCCCTGTCCACGGACGCGGGCTGGGCCCCACACGTCCAGGTGGAGGGTCTGCAGAGGAGCCTCGGTCGGGGGAAACGAAGAGGAGTGAGGAGCGGCGCGCTGCCGCCTCTCGACGCAAGGAAGGCAAGGCGGCGCAGGCGAGGCAGGGAGGGGAGGGAGAGACCGGGGAAGACCGGACACAAGGTGACGACGGTGCATGCCACGAAGGCGCGGCAAGGAGGGGTGACCCAGGCGGTGGTGCCAGAGAAGGGTCTGGTGCGACAGGGAGCGACACTCACAGGGGTGGGCTACTAGACCTGACGCAGACACCTGACCAACAGCAGCGACCTGAGGAGACACAGTGGTCAGTGTGTAGAGACTCGACCCCGGCTGACGAGTGAACGTAGCCAGGTGACGGCCAGTCCTGGAGCACGTGAGGATCGCCACACGCTGTCCTCCAGGGGTGAAGGTGTCAACCCACTGATCCTGGATAACAGCGTTGCTCACCAAGTTCGTAGAGAACGAGGGGAGGTGGAAACCCGACAACGAGCCAGACGGAACCGCCGGACAGGGAAGCACAGTGGTAGACCGTGCAAGAACTGGACCCCCGGAGGGGTCAGCCAGGGAGACTGGAACTGGTGCAGGGAGGGGAGTGAGCTCAGTACTGTCACGAAAGAAGCAGCGGGAAGCACCTGAGTCAAGCGTGAAGGTGTGCAAGGCCTCAGCGGGCGCAGTACCGGAGAGCGCAGACTCGCTAGCAGGAGGGGGTGTACCGAAGGGAGTAGCCTCGGAAGGCACAGTACCTGAGAGAGCAGACTCGCTGGTACCTAGGGCAGTGGGCTCTATACCTGGGTCAGGCGGCACACACAAGTAACAGTCCCCCTCAGCACTAACAGTCAATGCATACATGGCAGCAATAATAGCATCATAATCAAGAGCAAAGATATCAACACCAGCCCTCATCAGATCAGCCCAGCGGGGGCGCTCAACCTCCTCGCCCATCTCCTCACGCCAAGCGTCGTCAAGGCGGGAGAAGCAGCGGTACTGGGTGTGGAACCTCCCACACTTCTGCCCCTTGCGTTCACCTGTGCGAATGACATAGGAACAGCGACCACTGCCTCCCGACGTCCCACGCTGAGCAAGCCACTCACGGAGCTGCTGGGTCGTCTGAGGACGCTGCTGCTGCTGAGAGGTCTGGCCCGAGCTGGGGCCTACACTCCGACCACCACCGCCGCCACTACCGCCGCTCCGACCGCCACCGCCGCCGCCGCCACCGCCACCACTGCCACCGCCGCTGCCACCGCCGCCACCGCTGCCACCACTCCCGCCGCCGCCCCCGCCCCCACCGCTGCCTCCACTCCCACCAGCACTCCCGCCACCGCTCCCTCCAGCACCGCCTCCCCCCCCACCTCCCCCACCCCCTCCCCCCCCAGCGCCACCCCCGCCACCCTTGCCCCCCTTGCCCTTGCCGGTGCGGCGCCTCCCACCAGGAGCAGAAGCAGCGCCAGCAGACTCAGCACCAAGGAGGTCAACAGCAGCAGCAGTAGCGTAGGAGGGAGCGAGGGGAGAGGGAGAACACCCCTCAAAGATGGGGGTGCGAGGAGCGCCACGAGCAGCACCTACAGCTACAATGCTCTTCTCGGCTGCTAGCAGCTTCTCCTCTAGGAGGGCGACTGTGAGCTCAGTGGGACAGCGGGCAAGGAAGTAGTCTCGGACTGAGCTGAGGGTGTCAGGGAGACGGGTGACTATGAAATGGAGCGTCCAGTACAGTGGAGGGGGGTTCTTAGCACAGAACTCGGTGGGAAGGGCGGCACGCAGGCGAGCGTCACTAGTGCGAAGGTGGGTGATGAGATCGGCGACTGTAGCAAAGGTGGACAGCTCAGGGAACAGGTAAGGCAGCATGAGGCGGCTAAGCTCGGCTGTGGCAGGTGAGGAGTAGCGAGCAACGACAGCGTCGTACAGGGCCTTAGCGGTTTTGCAGTCGCCAAAGTGCTCTAGCTCAGCGAACGGCAGGTGACTGCGAATAGCCAGGCGAGCTGCAGCGTCACGAGTCTGCCAGTGGGAACGAACACTAAGCTCGGCTGTGGCAGCAGGAGCAGCGGCAGCACCAGACGCGTAGTCATAGAGGGAGACGTGGTCCGTGCTATTGCTCATAAGATACAACTGCAGGTCGTCGAGCCAGGAAGTGAACTGCACGGGACGGCCCTCAGCATCGAAGGAAAGAACGCGAATAGAGGCCATAGCTCAGGCGTGAGGGCACAGCAGAGCAGCGGCAGCAGCAGAGGGGACGCGCTAGAGCGAAGCTAGCAGCCGCAGCAGGAGCAAGCGGCGGTGCACGGGCAGGGAGCAGCAGGCGAGGCGGGCGGCGTACGCGGGTGCGTGGGGCCGCGGGGCTGCGCGCGTAGGGGAGAAGGGGCGGCCGCGGCAGCAGCAGGGCTGGCGGCGGGCGGGTAGGGCTACGGGCGGGCAGCGCGACGGGCGGTCAGCCGGGCGGGCAGCGCGGCGGACAGCGCGACGGGCGGGCGACGCGGCAGGCAGCGCGACGGCGGGCAGCGCGGCGGGCAGCGCGGCGGGCGGGCAGCGCGGCGTGCAGCGCGACGGGCGGGCAGCGCGGCGAGCGGGCAGCGCAGCGGGCTGCGCGACTGGCGGGCGACGCGGCAGGCAGCGCGACGGCGGGCAGCGCGGCGGGCAGCGCGACGGGCGGGCAGCGCGGCGGGCAGCGCGAAGGGCGGGCAGCTAGGGCGCACGAGGGCGCTAACGAGGGGCGCACGAGGGCGCAAACTAGGGCGCGTGAGGGCGCTAACGAGGGGCGCGCGAGGGCGCAGCGAGGGCGCGCGAGGGCGCTAACGAGGGCGCGCGAGGGCGCTAACGAGGGCGCAGCTAGGGCGCAACGAGGGCGCATCGAGGGTAGGGCGCGGGGTAGCGTGGTAACCGCATGCGTGCGACGGTGGGCCCTAAAAAAGATCGGTAGGTCCTAGGGACCTCCTGCTCTGAAACCATGTCAAGATTCTAGGCAAGAATGAATGCATTGAAAGGAGAACAAGAGTACAAGTACCTAACCCTAATGGGGTTGTACCCTATATTGTCTACCCCACTACAGCCTACCAACACATTATAATTTAACACATGTTTGCCCCAAGGCAGGATCGATCGTTGGAGGGGATCGATGTGCCGTTTGTACAGTGTATTAGCGACATCGTTAGTGCCTGGTATCCGTGCTTCGCAGAACCTCGATAATGTACAGTAAACGGGCACCCAAAATGGTGGCACCTGCAGCTCGCACGATCGATGTGCCAAAGTGGACACATCGATCTTGCGTTGAAGTTGGCGGGAGAGCAGATCGCGCCACAGGTGACAGCCGCGATCAATCAGCGTCGCCCACGGTCGCAGGCAAATAAATCCCAAGTCGTTGCGAATGAAATTGCTGGGCGACCAACCACGCTCTGCCCTGATTGGCTGCGCGTTGAAGTGTGTTGGTGCATTCCGAAACGGCTCCAACCTGCCCGACCCTGCGATTTCGATCCTGGCACCTATAGCTCGATGTGTCTACCCCACTGCAAATTTGCAGTGTGGGCACATCGGTGTGCTGATCGATGTGCCAGGATCGATGTTATGCCCCGATCTTCCCCCGATCTTGGCAAAATGCAAACAGGTGTCGCGTCCTTAGAACATGCGAGAAAAAAGTGAAGGAGAACCGAAACTGAAACTTACGAGAAGGGAGAGAGGGAGCTACCCGTCGCCGCCACCAGCTCGCTCCCGCTGCTCCTGCGCTGAAGGAGAACACACACGAACAAGTCAGAATCTGGAAAAAAACAAAAGAAAGAAATCGGAATGACAAATTACCACGGGAATGCAGTGCCGGAAGTCGGTGAAGATAGTCGGTGCAGTGCCGGAAGGGGCAGTGGAGCGAGAGGGGGAGCGGAGAGATCGGGCTGGGGCTACTCTCCCTCTCCGCTGCCGCCCTGCCCCAACCCCGCTCGCACAACCCCGCATGCTCCTCGTTCCAACCTGGAATCTGCTCACATGGCGATCCCACACATCGGCGTCGTTCTGTAGGCATCACGGAGGGAAGGGGAGGGAAAATAGGAAGCTGCCTGCCTCTGCAATTTTAGGTTCGAAATGGCGGTCAGCCCGGAAATGCTGACGTGGCAGTCATTTCCCTTCCGAACCTAATCGAAGGGAAATGCCTGCAGAACAGTCATTTCCCTTCAGGGAAATGCCCCATGGGGAAGATTCCTATTTCCCCTCACCACCTTCCTCCTCGGGCAAATTTGTTTGCCTTCGCCCCGCCATCGGCCACCCACCCTTCACGGGGAAGTGCGATGGTGACGGGAGGGAGGAGCTGGGCGTGGGAACACCAGCCTCCCACCCAAAAAAACCACACAGGAAAACACGGTCTAACCGAACCAGGGTGGCACCTCCCAAATCGTAAAAAAAAGCACACCCCAACCCCCTTCCCATGGGAAAGGATCTCTTGGGTGTTTTGGGGCTCGGTTTTCTGTTCCAATTCCCCTCGCTGGGCGAAGTACCCTGGGTGCACTGTACAGCGTCTGGAATTATCCCTCTCTTGGGTGCACAAAAGTCAGAGCGCACTTCGCCATTTCCCTTGGAAAACTTCCTCCCCACGATGCAAAATTTCCCACCTTGCATGTTTGCCCAGGGGGGGGAAGGCGACCTCGGAATCCTCCTCGGAACCCTCCTCATTTCCCTTCCCCCTCCCTCCACCCCCAATTGTCAGGTGCCTACAGAACGACACCATTGCCTTAGCCTAGCACGAGTGTAAAAAATTATGACCAGATTAGATGCGAGATGGCAAACACATCCATTTTGCTGTTTTTGAAGGGGTTGACAAATTATGCTACATATTATTCAGTAAATGATACGGTACATATCACCTGCTTGCACTTATGGTGGAACTCAGAAATCTGAAGTTCCGAGATGGGTATGGGACAATGTCGCGACGCGAGAAAGGTTGCTTTTCTTGCCTAGGCCCACTCCAAGCCACGCCCCTCTGCTCCTTCCGCCCTGCACTAGCAATGTTTGATGCGACCAGAGGAGAGATGAGGTGAGAAAAAACCAAGTCAGACAAGGGAATGTGAGCTTGAGGGATGAAGCACTCCCATTTCTCACTCTCGGCGCACTCGATGATTTCCATGCGCCCCTCGAGCAAAGCCCGCAGCAGCTGCCCCCGCCAATCCGCTATGCCCCTTTCACGCGCAAACTGCTTCACCCATCCCGCCAGAGCCTTTCCCCCGTTTTGAGAATTCTCACAAGTGACCCCCAGTCAGACCCTCCGCTTAACGGCTGGAACTCGCCCTGTGCTCACGAGCTCGCTTCAAGCTGCTATGTCTTTCCGTTGAAGCAAAGCACACACCCCTTTCTCTCACCTTTGAGCCTGCATTGTCAAGGCAGTTGCAAGCGCTCCTCATGTCAGACCCTCCGCTTCACGGCTGGAACTCGCCTTGTGCTCACGAGCTCACTTTGAGCTTTCTTGTCGATAGGTTTCACCGCTGTGACTAAGTCGAGTCCAGAATTGGGTTTCACCGCTGCGACCCACAGTTCATCTGCACACTCCCGCAGAAAATCTGCACTGTCCGAGTTGAGGCACTCAAAATCCTGCTTACACGCGGGTCTCATATCGTCCACCAGCTGAGGCACAGACAAGGGGATGGATGGTGGTTGGGTGGGGTGGAGAGGGGTGGAGCGGGGAGGAGAGGGGTGTGTGTATAAGTGACAGCCTAAGGGGAGCACTCCCTCACTCCCTCCCTCCTCCTGTTCCCCTCCTCCCTCCTCCTCTTCCTTTCCTCCTCCTCTCCCCCATCCTCCCCCTTGTCCGCCCATCCGCCAGCGAGCGAGAGTGAGTGAGGGAGTGAGGGTGGGGAGTGTTAGGGGGGGAGGCGGAGGAGGAGGGGGAGAGCGGCGGGGAGGAGGTGGAGGGGCGGGTGGAGGGGGAGGGGGAGAGGCGGGGGTCGTGCGTGACGATGTAATGAAGCAGGTCGGTATGGATGGTGGGCGGTACTAATGGGTTCACGTCCTACTCTGTCAACCAAAAGTCCTGCACCTGTAAATAATTCTGGTGGTGGGGAGAGAAGAAGGGGAGGGGGAGGAGGGCAGGGGGAGGGAGGAGTTGGGGGGGAGGGAGGAGTCGGGGGGGGAAGAGGCGGAAAGTGGTGGGAAGAGGTGGGAAGAATTGGGAACGAACGAGGCACTGATGGGTTCACATCCCTACCATCAGCCAGAAGTCCCGCAGCGGGACTCCCTACCATCTACACTGAAGTCCCGCACATCTGAGTATTTCTGTTGGTAGGGAGACTTAACACATAGCGGGAAGAGCGGGGAGAGCGGGGAGGGTGAGAGGCAGGGTGGATTGTGGGCGGTGCAGATGGGTTCATTTGTGAATATTTCTGGTGGTGGGGAGAACAGTGGTGGCGGAGAGAGAGAGAGAGAGAGAGAGAGAGAGAGAGAGAGAGAGAGAGAGAGAGAGAGAGAGAGAGAGAGAGAGAGAGAGAGAGAGAGAGAGAGAGAGAGAGAGAGAGAGAGAGAGAGAGAGAGAGAGAGAGGAATGGAGGGGGAGGGTCATGGAGAGGCACGGAGAAGCAGCTGGGATCGTGTGTGACAATGCAGGAATTGATTTTAGAACATGGCAGTCAGGAAGTGATTTTAGAAGGGCCTCGACGATTATTTCTGGTGGAAAGAGGGGAGAGCATGGATGTGAGAAAACAGCAGGCAGAGGGTGTGTTAGACGACTGAAAGAATGTGAACACACCGAGGTCATCAAGACGCCAGGGCTGTGACAATAACGAGCGAAAATGGGACTATATAGCAGGCAGAGTTGTGATGTGACGATAGAGCACGCAAGGTGACTATAACGCAGCCTTGGGCACACACTTTCATGAGCTGCAGGCGCATGCGCGTGGGGGTGACACCTGTCGCCATGGCATTGGCCGAGAGCACTGCGAAGTGCGTCAGTGCCTCCACAATCGCCCACTTGCGCTGCTCCTCCTGCCATCCCACGTGTATAGCAAGAAATAGCACACCGCAAGCAGCACACCGCAAGCAGCACACCGCAAGCAGCACACCGCAAGCAGCACACCGCAAGCAGCACACCGCAAGCAGCACACCGCAATCAGCACACCGCAATCAGCACAAGAGGAGCACAGCATTGGCTGGGAGCACCGACAAATGGGTCAGGGCCTCCACTATCACCCCCTTGCGCTGCTCCTCCTGCCATGGCGCATGCACGCATGCACATGCAGACCAAGAACATGGCACATGCATGTATGCATGGCACATCACGAACATGTATGCATGTGTGCATGGCACATCACGAACATGTATGCATGTGTGCATGGCATATCACGAACATGGCACACGCATGTATGCTTGGCACATCACGAACATGGCTCACGCATGTATGCATGGCATATCACGAACATGGCACATGCCAAGCGCATAACAGGGAGGAGACATGAGCAGCGCAACGGGAACACTGATTTGACGGAGCTACAGCAACCTGACGGAGCCACATTAACCTGACGGAGCTACAGCAACCTGACGGAGCCACATTAACCTGACGGAGCTACAGCTACCTGATGAGCGACAGAAACGCGGAACTAAAACCAGAGCCAGATAAGACGATACCGCTTGCATCGTATGTCATCATCGCTGCAGGCGAGATAATGCCGCTCGGCCAATCGTCCCCGCTTCGCCTGGCGCTTCGCCTGTCGCTCTGCCTGACGAAATAATGGCGCACCACATACCACAACCATGCATGCTTGTATGCATGTATGCGCGCACACCAAAAACATGCCACATGCATGAATGCGCGTGCACACGCGCACACATACCAAGCGCATGACAGGAAGGAACACACGAGCACAACGGCGCAAAGCTTTGACAGGTGCATGACAGGAAGGAAGACACGAGCTACAGCAAACCTGACGGAGCGACAGAAACGAGGAGCGAAATCAGAGCCAAATAAGACGAATCGGCTTGCCTCGTATGTCATCATCGCTGCAGACAAAATTATGCCGTCCTCGCCCGAAACTACGTAACTACGGCAAGCCCACGGGAAAATGATGCCAGTGAAGACGAAAAGGGTAAGATTGCGTCACATACGGTCTGACTTAGGCTGTGAGAAAATAATACGCTGACGGTTAAAGCTTTTTATAGCAGGTGTGGCATTAGGTTACGCACCGAGGCTGTCGCCCGATAACTAGGACGGCATAACAGGAAGCTTTTGTGAATGCTCGGTAACAAAAGGTCTGACACGGTTTCGAAGCGGAAAAAGTTGACGAGCTTACGGCGACGGGACGTTGGGAGGACACCGGCGAGACGAAGCGCGATGCGAAGTGCGATGAGATGAAGTGCGACGCGACTAAGTACCATCTATCCGAGGTGCTGTACTACTAAAACGCGGTGAAAAATCTCCAGACGAGGCGAGGCGTGAGTTTTCAAGTACAGCGGCCATAGTCCTACTAGCAGTAGCCTTATCTCGATCTTTTTATCCAAGTGTGAATTAGCACACAAACATATAACTGATAGAGTCTACTAACAGAGCCAACTGCTCGTAAAGCCAACTGATAGTCTATTACAAACATACAAGTCTTCATAGAACGTGTCACTAACTAGCATGCAAAGCTGCTAAAGCTGCTAAACGGCTTCACAGTCGCGCCATCCATAGCAGCTCGAGCTTGGTTCTTGACTTCAGCTTGGGTCTTGAGAGTCTTCTTGACCCCTCTTGGCCGCTAGAGGCAAATGCCTCTAGCGTTACACCCGCACACCGCGTTGAGGTGGAGGCCATTCGTGCGGGACGGTTGAAAATTTCAATAAGGAAGGGGAAGGTTAGAATTATTACTGTAGCGGCGGGAAACACCTCAGCTCCTCGGTTGAAGAGATGCCAGGTTGTCAGAAGAGTTGCCCGAAGAGGCGCGGAAAACGCACCTGTACCAAATTACCTGACCCCAACCCCACCCCCGCGCGCGCGGCCTAACTACACCCACCCAAACCCACCCAAACCGAGTCTGCAATTGGGAAGGGGGATGGGGAGGGAGGGGAGGGGAGGGGAGGGGAGGTGAGGATGAAACCTCCTCCTCCAAGCTCCTCGCCGCCAGCGCTGCAGTCCCCGCCAGCGCTGTTGTCCCCGCCAGCGCCGTTGTTTCCGCCAGCGTTGTTGTCCCGCCAGCGTCGTTGTCCCCGCCAGCGTTGTTGTCCCGCCAGCGCCGTTGGCTCCCGCCCTCTCCCGCAGCTCCTGCGCTCAGAGGAAACACACTAACGAAAAAAGTTAGTATATGGTAAAAATGAAGAAAGTAACTGAAACTGACAGTTACCAAGAGAGAGGAGTGCTCGAAGCTTGAACTCCCGTCGCCGCCAGCGCCGTAGACTCCTGCGCTAAGAGTGAGAACAAAACAGAAAGTTAGAATCCGGAAAAAAAAAAAAACACACGAAATCGGAATTGACAGCGTACCACGTGGATGAGAGTCGTTGCAGCCAGCGCCGTCAGCTCCCGCTCCTGCTCCCGCCGTGAGCTGCACTAAAACAGAGCATGAAGCACGAAGTCAGAATCTGGGAAAAAAAAAACGAGGAAACTGGAACCGACAACATACCACGTGGATTAGTCGTTGCAGTCGTCGCCGTCAGCTCCCACTCCGCTCCCACGCCGTGAGCTGCACTAAAACAGCACGAAGCACGAAGGAAGAAGTTAGAACATGCGAGAAAAAAGTGAAGGAGAACCGAAACTGAAACTTACGAGAAGAGAGAGAGGGAGCTGCCCGTCGCCGCCACCAGCTCGCTCCCGCTGCTCCTGCGCTAAAGGAGAACACACACGAACAAGTCAGAATCTGGAAAAAAACAAAAGAAAGAAATCGGAATGACAAATTACCACGGTAATGCAGTGCCGGAAGTCGGTGAAGATAGTCGGTGCAGTGCCGAAAGGGGCAGTGGAGCAGGAGGGGGAGCGGAGAGATCGGGCTGGGGCTACCCTCCCTCTCCGCTGCCGCCCTGCCCCAACCCCGCTCGCACAACCCCGCAGGCTCCTCGTTCCAACCTGGAATCTGCTCACATAGTGATCCCACACATCAAGGTACCACGGAAAAGAGAAGAACAAACCAGAGAGCGGAAATGCGAAATAAACGAAGAATAAGAATGCGAAAGAAGAATAAACGACAAAAAAACGACCACGGCTGGGAGAAGTGCCGCCAAGCGCCTCGGTAGACGCGGCATCCGCCCGAGAGACGCGTCGTCCACCCGCGAGACGCGCCATCCGCCCGTGAAACGTGCCGTCCGCCCGCAAGACTCGTTGTCCGCCCGCAAGACTCGTTGTCCGCCCGCAAGACTCGTTGTCCGCCCGCAAAACGTGCCGTCCGCCCGCGAAACGCGCTGTCTGCCCGCGAAACGCGCTGTCCGCCCGCGAAACGCGCTGTCCGCCCGCTACGCGCCGTCCGCCCGCGAGAAATGCGTCCGTGCGCCGTGCACCTCTGCAGGAAGCAAGCAACAGCATTAGCAACCGCCAACGAACGGAAACCTTCAACACGAATCGCAGCCACCAAGATGGGAAACAGCAGGTAAGCGACGGTCGAACGAGCTACTACCTCAACCGCAGCGAGGCGCAGCTGGTAAGCGACGGTCGAAGCGTCGCCAAGGGCCGCCGAAGCCCCGTGCACGGTTAGACGAGCCCGAAGAAGCGTCGCCCTTCGACCATACGTCGCCATGCGTCGCCATACGCCGCCATGCACACCATCCATGATTCGCGCCCGGGCGTCAAGGTGCGTCGTTCGCAGACGGTCAGGTTCTGCAGTAAGAAAGAACACGAGAATCAGTAAAGGAGGAAGTAAAGACACGAAACCGAAGCGTAACCATCGTAAACGCCAATGCAAGTTGAAAAGCGAGGCGCTGAAGGTCACGTTACCTCAACCGCAGCGAGGCGCAGCTGGTAAGCGACGGTCGCAGCTGGTAAGCGACGGACGCAGCTGGTAAGCGACGGACGCAGCTGGTAAGCGACGGTCGCAGCAGGTAAGCGACGGACGCAGCTGGTAAGCTACGGACGCAGCTGGTAAGCGACGGACGCAGCTGGTAAGCGACGGTCGAAGCGTCGCCAAGGGCCTCCGATGCGCCGTGCACGGTTAGACGAGCCCGAAGAAGCATCTCCCTTCGCCATGCGTCGCCATGAGTCGCCATGCGTCGCCACGCGTCGCCGCGCTTCGCCATGCGTCCACCATCCGTGAGTCGCGGTGCGTCGCCGGCGGACGGTCAGGTTCTGCACTAAGAAGGAACACGAGAATCAGTAAGGGAGGAGTAAAAACACGTAACCGAAGCGTAACCGGCGTAACCGCCAAAGCAAGCTGAAATGCGAGGCGCTGAAGGTCACGTTACCAAGCGGACGACACGAGCGGACGGCGACGGACGGCGACGGCGAGCGCGACTGCGACGACAAGCCGAAAGGACGCGATTGTCGCTTTCGAGATGCTTTCGAGAGTCGCACAACACCTGAAAAGAAGAACGCAACATATGAAACAGAAACATATCAATACAAGTGAGACAGAAACAAGAACTAAAGTTAGAACAAACTATAGAACAAACTTACACACGTACCGTTCAGGCCTGCGACTTTCGGGTCCTGTAGCTCGTGGCTTAATCCGTCAACGGCGACGAAGCGCCTACTCGCCAACGGTAAATGCACGGTCTGAAAGGGAGATATAGAAACACATTAGTACTAGAGAATATGCTGCCGAAAAGATAGGACTATACGTTAATCACGAAAAGGGCTTCACTTGCCATCTCGACGCATCTTGACGGCGCACAAGCCGAAATGCAGCCGTGATCGTCGCTGCGTCGGCGATCGTTGTTGCGTCGTGGCTTTCGAGTCGCCTTCGAATCCCTTTTGAGTCGCCAAGATGGCCGCCGAGGTCTGAAAAGACAAGGCAACAGATTAGTACTTAGACATTGAGAAAGAAAACATAGAGGTATCACTTATAGCTTAAATCAGAAGTATCACTTTATCAAGTCAATGATTCACTTACCTCAACAAGTCTGCCGTTGGCGAGCCGATCTTGACTTGGGGCTGAGCCACTCGGCTGGGCCACTCGGCTTGGGGCTGGGCCACTCGGCTTCAGTTTGTGATCGGATGCCGTGTAGAAGCACGGCATTCAATCTAAGGTACTCTGCAGAAGCTTGAACTTGAAGGAGCTTCAAGCTTCGGATCCATCGTCTGCAGAAAAACAGATCCAGTTAGATTATACCTCAGAAATCAACAAGGAAAACGATTGACGGAAAAGTTGAACGAACAATCAAACGAACGTACGAAAAAAAAAAAAGAGCTTACCTTCAGTCAAGTGGTGAAGACTTGAATGGCAGGAGCGACGGGGATGCTGCACCAGAAGCATCTTGATTTAGAAGGGGCTTGGCTTCCGGCTTGGCTTGGGTTTCGAAGCGGCGTCCCGTGATTGAAGCGGCTTTCCGTGATTGAAGCGCCTCCCGCGAGCTTGACTTAAGCTTCAGATTCTCCGAGATTAACAGTGACAAGCTGATCTGCAGGAAAATTAGTCAGAAAACAAGGAACAAGTTAGAAAAGTTTTCGAAAGCTCGTCAAACAGTGAAGCAATTGCAGAAAGAGTTTGAACGATATTGCACGATTCGAGGTTGCTCTTACCTTC